CAGACATCTAGTCTTAGTTCCCCATAGTCTTCTGTTCCACTGGATATGCATCAGAGACTGGAGCAGCATCCTACATGCTGATCTTTCAGTTGTCATTGACGACTATCAGCATAGACTTTCTGCTTGGGGAATCATCACATTCCTAATGAACAAAATTATCATTTTATAGCAGTTGGGAGGGGCTGTAAAGTCTACTGAGTATGTCTGGGTTAGTTAATCATTCAAAGTGACAATATGGTTTCTTCTCTACAATATGGCTTCCCTTATGTCAACCTTGTGTTGAGCCGATATCACCAGGGGGAAGGGAGAAAAGTAACACACACTTTAAGAAAATAGAGGCAATTACAACAGTTTCTACTCACCCCTGGTTTTTGTTTTTTGTTGTTATTGGGCTTTTTTTCCTCGCATAGTGTTCTGCACGGCCTCTGAGTCCCCCAGGATCAAGGAGGACCAGGAAAAGGTCTGGGTCCCTAGAGGGTGGAGGAATCAAGATGAGATTTAGATGGTTCCATTATGAGATGATTAGTAGAGAAAGGAGCCACACTATCCTTTCCCTAATTGCTGGTGAAAGGAAAAACAAAAACCTCCAAGCTACACATCCACCCCTCAACAAAGGAAACAAACCCTCCTGCAAAATACAGGGGACCTATTTGGGGACTGAGGCCCTGCCCACTGCAAGAAAAAAGAGGAGGGGAAAGCAGAAAAGCCAGAGACTTAGACAACAAATATTTCACAGCAAGCACATTCTCCTCAGCTACCAAGTCCAAAGCTACTTGATATGTTTCTGAGCTGCCAGAATGTCTTGGTTCCCCCCATAAAAGGTCTCTGACCATATTCCTTGATGCCTAGAGATGCATTCCTTTGGGTTTGATCCACTGAAGCGATGGACCTCTTAGATTTAAAGACAAAGTCTCATGCCTCCCCTCAAGACAAAGTCTATCATTTCTCCCTTCCTGCCCTTGCACAAGCTGTTCCTCTATCTGTAACACTCTTCCTTCGCCTGCCCTTGCCCTTAGCAAACTCAAATGGCATGCTCTCCCAGAGCTCTTGAAGGGGCTCCCAAAGGCAAGTGAATGGTTCCCTCTCTGTGCTCAGTACATTGGACATACCTGTATTTATAACATCATGAGGTAATATTTAATTTTCCATTTTTGAAATTTAAGATAAAGTACGAAAAAGAAAATATCACACATATTCCATTTTCCACCTATAATCTAGACCTATCGTTGTTTCACGTTCAGCATATTTCTTCCAGTCTCTTTTCTGGGGTAGCAGACTGTAACCTCCTGGAATGAAAAAACTACATACTTTTTTTTTTCTCCAGTTTTCACAGTTCTGGAGGTCAGATGTCCAAAATTGGCCTCACTGGGCTAAAATCAAGGTGTCAGCCTAATGGTATGCCTTCTGGAGGTCCAAGGAGCAAATTGCTTCCTTACCTGATCCAGTTTCTAGAGGCTACCCGCACTCCTTAGTTCATATCTCCCCTTCCCCTCCCATCTTCAAAGCCCGCGAGGGCTGGTGGAGTCTTTCTCATGCAGCATCATTCTGACCCTGACTCTCCTGCCTCCCTCTTTCACTTATAAGGGCCCTTGTGATTACATTGGGCTCCCTGGGATCATCCGGGATACTCTTACCATCTCAAGATCCTTAACATCATCCCATCTGCAAAGTCCCTGCTGCCATATCAAGTAACATTCACAGGTTCCAGGGATCAGGATGTGGATGTTATGAGGAGGCCATTATTCTGCCTGCCACAACTACCTTTTCTAAACTGTACCCACAACAAAAATTTGCTTTGCCTTCCTCCTCTTTCACTTTTCTTCTGAGACAGAGACAAGAGCACAAGCTCTGAAGTGAAACACCCTAGCTCTGCCATTAAGTGCCTGGATGTCCCTGGACCAGTCCCTTCACCTCCCTCAGCTTCTTTTTTCTCATCTGTAACATAGATTAACTCTTAACTGCCTTAGGAAATGACAGTAAAAGAGTAAGTTAAGATACATAAGGCAGTAAACACAGTGCCTGGTATGTGTTGAGCCCTCAGTAAACATTCCTTTCAATCCTTTCCTTTTGCCATCCCATTTTCTCTCACCCTGGCCCATTTTCTCCTTCATCTCCCTTCTCTTCAGTGGCTTAGTCTAACCTCAGTCTAACTATTTAGCAAAGAGGCCATATTACCCATCTCTGTGATTCTGCTTCAATGGACATTTATAAGGAGAGTTCTGTTTTGTTTTGTTTTTTTAAAGAAGTCCTTTTATGGTCACTTAAAACTTACATATACTTCCTTGTAACTTAGATATGCCAGTCCTAATTCTGCCCTGCTATATTATACGTTCATTTCCTCATTTCATCCTTCTTCAGTCTTTCTCTTTACATCTTATAAATAAAGACAGTACAAAGACAAAAACAATGCCCAGGCCACAACATCAAATTCCTTTAGCAAGATGAATGCTATTTGCAAGACATCCCCTGAAGCTTATTTCTAGGCTTGGCTTTCAGCAAAACCATTTAACTCTAGAAACATTTCCAGACCCCCAGGGACAATAACCGTGACAGAAGCCACATATTCTCTGAATATTTCTGCCTTGGATTAAGACATTTTCCAGAATGTTGTTCCTAAGTTACTGCTACCCAATCCGTCAACTCCTGGAAGTTAAGCCTCCCCTATCATCTTCAACTCCGGCTGGCCTGCCAGGACACCAGCTAGAAAATGCCTCCCTACTCTAGATGACCAGGGTGGCACCTTTGCCTAGTCCCAGAATTCTAGTAGCTCACACTTACTCACTGCTCACTATGTACCAGGCAGAATCCTAGGGGCTTTATATTTAGCTAGTCTTCACCAAAAAATCCCATAAGTGATATCATACCTGTTTTTACAGATTAAAAAAACTGAGTCAGAGAAGTTAAATAATTTACCTAACATCACACAACTCCATAATTATACCTCATCTCTCACTCAAATAAGTGTTAATAATTTAATCTGGGCAGAGGACACCCTAAGATTTCTGAGGTCTCCTGAACAAAATCCACCTTTCAGAATGATGTTCACTGTATTGTCAGCTATTTGCACAGCCATTCTCTGGCCATAAAAGGGGTGCACTAGGGAAAGAAAGTGTAATGAGAAAGAAGCAGTAGGAGGGAGATTCCCTGCAATGGGCACAAAGAGGATGAGATTCCAAACACAGACACAGTCATAAGACACACCCAGAGTTTGTGGCCTTGGAAAAATGTCAGCCCCATCTGTCTCTTTCCATGCCTGTTGGCATCTGACTTCCTTCTCAGCCTGCCCCTCCTGGCCTTGTTTTCTCAGACCAACTAGAGGCCTGGGCCTGGGACCAAACCAGAGCACCCAGCACTGAGCTATGTGGGTGGAGGGAGCAGAGAAGGGAGTAAAGTGTTCAGCTTATAGGGGACCTGACTCACCTATGTATGTATCATTTGGGCAGGGAGTGGATTAGAAAAGGGCTGCTCTGCAGGACTCACAGTTTAAGGAGTGACACTTCCTCAAAGATGTCTGACTGACAGCAAAGGGTGGATGTGGGAGGCATCACAGCTTTCTCCCATTTCGATATTTATTGTCCCTCCCTCTCCCTCCATTGTGTTACATTCCTCTGACTGTAGGTCACTTATTTACTGAGTTGGGTTCCAGGAAAAAAAATCTCAGCTGAGTTCCTTAAAACCCCAAGCACTCAATTCAGTTCAAGATGCCTGCCACAAGGAAAGTCACTACATAATGAGAAAGGGAACAATCCCACAAGACGACATAAGACTTATAAATATCTATGTACCCAACATAGTAGCATCTAAATATGTAAAGCAATTATTAACAGACATAAAAGGAGAAATAGAAGGTGACACAATAATAGTAGGGGACTTTAGCACTCCACTTACACCAATGGATAGATCATCCAAACAGAAGATCAATAAGGAAACATTGGCCTTAAGGGACACATTAGACCAAATCGACTTAGTAGATACATACAGAATATTCCATTCAAAAACTGCATAATACACATTCTTTTCAAATGTTCATGAAACATTCTCCAGGATTGATCACATATTAGGACACAAAACAAGTCTCAACAAATTTCAGACGATTGAAATACCAGGCATCTTTTCAGACCACAAAGGTATGAAACTAGAAATCAACTACAGGAAGAAAATCAGAAAAGCCACAAAGGTGGAGATTAAACAAAATGCTACTGAAGAATGATTGGGTCAATGAAGAAATCAAACGAGAAATCAGGAAATACCTGGAGACAAACAAAAATGAAAACACAACATGCCAAAATGTATGAGATACAGCAAAAGCAGTTCTAAGAGGGAAGTTTATAGCAATTTAGGCCTACCTCAACAAACAAGAAAAATCTCAAAAACAATCTAGCAGTGCACCTAAAAGAATTGAAAAAAGAAGAACAAACAAAGCTCCAAATCAGTAGAAGGAAGGAAATAATAAAAATCAGAGCAAGAACAAGTGAAATAGAAACTAAAAAAAAGAAAAAAGAAAAAATCAACGAAACCAAGAAGAGCTGTTACTTTGAAAAGATAAACAAGCATGACAAACCTTTAGCTAGACACACCACAGAAAAAAGAGAGAAGGCTTCAAGAAATAAAATCAGAAATGAAAGAGGAGAAATTACAACGGACATTCAGAAATACAAAAATTATAAGAGAATACTGCGAAAAGCTATATGCTAACAAATTGGATAATGCAGAAGAAATGGATAAATTCTTAGAATCATACAATCTTCCAAAACTGAATCAAGAAGAAATAGAGAATTTGAATAGACCAATCACCAGTAAGCAGATGGAAATAGTAAGCAAAAACCTCCACCAAAATAAAAGTCCAGGACCAGACGGCTTCCCTGGTGAATTCTACCAAACATTCAAAGAAGACTTAGTACCTATCCTTCTCAAACTCTTCCGAAAAATTGAAAAGGAGGGGAAGCTTCCTAACTCGTTCGCAAGGCCCTCCCCTCCCCACCCCTTTCCTGAACTGCCTGGGATGGGGTGAGATATAAAAGGTCTCGGTTTCCTGAGAGAAAGAGCAGGAGCGAGAGAGTCCAGCTGCCCTGATCATGAGCCCTGCCCTGCTGCTGGCCCTCCAGGGCATCACCCTCATGCTGCCCCGTGAGTGAGGATCCCAACCTTGGGGGGGACTTCCCTGGAGGATGGGCTGAGATGGATTTGCTCTTCCCATTTCAGGAGTGCAGGCCCTGACCTGTCAGTTCACGACAGTTGAGGATGTGAACAACGCAGCAGATATGCCGTACCTCTGGGATGTGAAGGACCAGCAAGTCTGTGAGGATGGCTGGGGTTGCCAAGACACGCTGCTGCTCATTAAGAACGGTGAGAAAAGCCCCGTAGGCCCCAAGCCTGGCTCCCACCCTCTCCTGTGTAGAGACATCCCTCCCTGCACCCAGCCCTCCCTGCATTCTGTATGGGAACTCAGAGGACCCCTCCCGTCGTACCAGGAGCTGTCCCCTCCCCAGCTGGGGCAAAGTCTTGGGTGCCCAGTCACCATCTGTCCAGTCTCCCACCCCAGGCCACGATATAGACCATCTCTCTAAGACCCAGAGTCCTGACCCCACCACAGCCTCCCTCCCTCTCTTGGTCCAGGACCCCAAGTGAAACTGGTGCTCAACAAGGGCTGCACCCCGGAGGCAGATCACAAGGCCCGTGTCACCCAGCACAGGACAGGCCCCAGCCTCTCCATCGTCTCCTACACCCACGTGTGCCGCAATAGGGACTTATGCAACAATGTCTCCATCACGCCCCCTGTCTGGGACTCATTACCCCCAACAGGTGCCTGAGGGAGGAGGGGGAGGAGGAGGAGGGAAAAGTGAGTGCGGGGAGGAGGGAAGGGGCAGGGCTGAGGGGGTGAGGTTAGCACAGAGGGACAGTACCTAATTCCCTGCACCCCAGGCCTGCATGACAGGAGCCCGAGGAGGGCACGTTTTGGGGGAGACTGAGGAGGTTGATTTCTGGGGCAAGCAAAAGCGGGGTGGAGAGAAAACCCCTGATCTGAAGGGAGAGCCCTCTCTTCCTCTCTCTCCGTCTCTCACCTCCCAGTCCCGGGGTCCGTGCGGTGCCCAGTCTGCTTGTCCGCAGAAGGCTGTCTGTCTGCAACAGAGCTGACCTGCCCTTCTGGGGACACACATTGCTACAACGGGGTCCTCGTGATCAGGGGAGGTGAGGCGGCACATCGGGGTCCCTGGGGAACACGGAACAGGGAGGTCTGAGGGCCGGGATCTGGGTCTCTGGGAGGGAGGGTAGCTGAGGGCTGGGACCTGGAGGAGGGTGGGCCTGGCTTCGTGGAGCTGCGCCTCCCCTGAAGGTTGCATGGTCCCACTGGGAGCATCTCCCTCTCTCCCTCTCTCTTCCTTTCCACAGTGGACATCGCCACCAATCTGAGATTGCAGGGGTGCGCGTCTCAAGCAGGCTGCAACCTGCTTAATAACACTCAAAAAATTGGGGCCCTGACTGTGCACGAGAACTGCAACCCTGAAGGTGAGTCCCTCGTGTGGGAGACGAGGCCGTGCCCTGCACTGCAGCCTTGGGGCACGGTGACCCTTGTGAAAGTGGGACACCCGAACACATCCCACCAAAGCCAGCGCCCGCGAGTAATTTAGGAGTTTATTGCTCACTCAGGGAGGCATTCTCCTGGTAGGCACTTCAGTGAGGGTGCCAGTAAGAGGTGTCCAGCTGTGTACCACACACTCCACAAACCTCATACACCACTAAGTCCACCCGCCATACACACCATACACCACACATCACACGCAAACAAAACACAGACACACAGAACACACACCATGCCACACCCTCACAACAAACACATACCACATACATCACACACACACCGTATCAGTACACACACATACCACACATCATGTACCACACACAAACACTACATACACCATACAAACATGCCATACACATATCACAAACTCCATACACCCCACACAAATACTACACCTCTGCACACATACCATACATGTACACTACACACACCACACACATGCCACATGAAACACAGCTTTTATGCCACAAATGAATATTCCTATCACAATCCATGTTTGGTTAGCTTTTGACATTGGAGCCAGATCTTGGAACGTGTTTGGCTTCCCTGGTTGTGTTCAGTTCAGCAGTTTAGCAAGTATTTCCTGACCATCAGCAAGACCAGGCATCAGAAGCTGGGTATGACAAGAGGTCAGGGAATATGTGGAGGAGAGAAGGGCATTCCCGGAGCCAGAACAGCCCCTGAGAAGGCATGGGGGTGGCAGAGGGCTGGGCCAAGAGCACAGGCTGCCCAAGATGGGCCACAGCAGGACCCCAAGCTGAGGAAGAACGAAAGGGTTGGAAAGTGAAGGGCCTTGACCTCCCCTAAGCAACTGGGCGGTGGTCCCAGGGAAAGCGCGGGGTGGCACAATCAGGAGAGCACAGCAGTGAAGACCTTAATGTCTGAATCAGAGAGATGTTGGCTCCCCATCTGGGCTGACAAATAAAAATGGCAAGCAATAAGATATATTGGAGTATATGAGGAAGCCATTTGGTGTAAACCTAATTCGGCCTGACCTCCAAAATGGCCTGACCGTGGCTATTGAGCATGCATTGTGTATCTGCTTTAGATATTCCCTATGACAAGAACAAAGGCCCTTGAGATAAAGGTGCAACTTCCCTCCCCCTCCCAACGTTGGCATTTCCTTAAGGATTAAGCATCTTTTCTTAGGCTAGGAACTGATTGCTGCACTCACCTGTGACCACCCGGCTCAGGACAAGACTTGCTTCCTGCTGCGCCCTCCGAGATAGCAGACCCACTACCTGCTGTGTCCATCAAGCCCTGTGCGACAGGGCAATCTTGTGACTATTGTGGGAGGGACATTTCAATCATATGTGAAAAGTCCTGTATGGGGGTATATAACCACTCTGTACACCTCACTTCTTCGGTGCCCTTTGTTCCTTTGGGAAGAAAAGCCCTGGGCCACGGTCCTCAGATTTTAGCTCAGAATAAACTCACCCAAATTTTCATTTATAGATTGGTTATGGATTATTTTCGTCAACAGGGCTTTGCCACTGAACCAGCTGTTGAGGATCACCACCTCTTTGAGCCTCTTTCAAGCAATTCAGGAAGGAGGAGACAATTCCAGACAGTCGGGAGCAAGGGAGTGTATGGAAAGGCCCTGAGGTGGTCATATGCCTGCTGTGTGTTCAAGGTGGAGCCTAGGGGCCAGTGTGGCTCCAGCAGCGTGATCAAGGGAGATAAGAGGAGGATACGGAGACAGAGAGGGAGGGGGAGGCCAGATCACTTAGAGCCTTTGGGGCCGATTTAAGGACTTAGAATTCTTTTCTGAGTGGGATGGGGACTTATGGAGGCGCTGAGCAGTGGAATGACATGAGTCGTCTTATCTTTATGGGGATCTATCTGGCTGCTGAGTGGAGGATAGAGTGAGGGGGAGGTGGGAGTCAGGGAAGGGACCGCCAGGAAGACCCAGGAGGAAGCAGGTGAGAGCCAGGGGCCTCTTGGAAGCAGTAGAGGTGGTGAGACGTGGTCAGGTTCTGGGGGTATCTTGTAGCTTAAGCCAACAGGATTTCCTGATGGGCGCAACACAGGGTGTCAGAGAAAGGGGAGTGTCAGGAATGACTTGAGCAACTGCTGAAAGGAGCCGCCACGGACCATGGTGGGGAAAGATGAGGGTGGGGAGAGCGGGGGCCAGGCTAGAAGGAGGTCAGCAGGAGCCATGATTTTGTCATCTGTGATGTGGGGAATGAGCGGTCCCCCTTTGTAGGACTGTCATGAATGTTACCTATGTTTATGGATGCTGCGTCATCAGCCCACGAGTTTCTGCCCCAGGGAATGCATCTCGGCTGACCATGTGATGGCCTTGAGAGAAGATCTGGGCTCGTGGTTTTCACACTAGACTCCTGATGGCCACAGGGGCCAAGCTAGCCAAGGACGGTCATTGATCCCTCTCTTCCCCATCACTCAGCCCAGGAGACAGAATGCCTGAGTTCTGAGCCCAGTTCGGCCCCTGACTGGTGGTGGGCCCTCGAGCAAGCTACTTAACAACTCCTCTGCCTCTGTTTCCCATCTTGAAATGGGATGATGATGATAACACCACCTGCTTTGGGGATTTCCGTGGAGAAGTAAGGTGATCCAGATCGTAAACTCCTCGGCTGGTGTCAGGGGGCTAATCCACGGAAAGCAGTCAGGACAGCCAGGCTCGTAGTAAATGCTCAGTGCACACCAGGCCTTTGAATCTTTTTGTTTAGAACATGTGGTTCAACAGTGAAAAGAAACGTATGGTGTCACTCTGCCCTCCTCATTACCTGGATGAGGACCTTGAGATCCTGAGAGAGAAGTAGAGATTGGCTCAGGCTGAGGAGGAGCCCTCCATCTCTCTCACTCCCAAGGGAGGAGCAGCCTTTTTCCAGAGGCTTGGGAGAGGTCCCTGCAGGTGTTTGAGCAAAAACAAGGTAGGAAAGGAGGTAGGACTCAGACTCCCAGGGTTCCTTCTAAATCTGAGATTGAAGGACTCTATGGCCAGGTCATCTAGAGTGCGACTCAAGAATGTGATCACCTCCAAGCCTGAGACCTGGAGGGACAGACATGGCTGTTTCCCTAGCCTTCCCAGACCCTGGTAATTCCTTCTCTCTAGCTCTTCTGACCTGTCAACGGGGAGCCATAGTGGAGATAAGGCCAAACTCAACTCAGACACCCATCAAATGGACCTCGAGGGGGTACCAGACGTGCGATGCTGGAGATATGTGTCAGGAGACGCTTCTGCTGGTAGACGTAGGTGCGTGGGCTGCACAAGAGGTACGGCCCCTGCGCTGGGTCCCGGGCCTCCCTGCCCTGGATTCTGTCCCTGCTTTCCTGCCCGGTTCCCCTTACACCTGGAACTCTAAACCCAACTCTTCTTCTTTCTGTGCCTTGCTTTCCCTTTCTGAAAACTGGGGGCAATAATAATACCTACCTTGCTGGGTGGTCGTGAGCCTAGCTTGATAGTCCGTGCCAAGGGCTGAGAGCAGAGCTGGCACAGGGGGACCCAATGGCTTCATTCAAGATTTATTGAGCATCTGCTGTGTGCCAGGCACCCTAGATCCCACTGCACCTGCCTTTGTGCAGCTTTAAGGCGGGTGAAACAGAAAAAAAAACAACAACAAAGAGCAAGATATGGGTGTGGAGATAAGAGCTGTGGAGAGAAATCCTGCAAGGAAAGGAGAGAGCGAAACTGAGGGGAAGATTGCAACGTGAAAATGGGTGCTCAGGGGAGGTTCTGCTGCGAAGGTGACGTTGGCACAAGAACTGAGAGCTGGCAGCGCTGGAGGAGGACCCAGCCTCTGGGCCCTCCACCGTCTTCCCCACATTCCAGATGACCTGTGCTCTTGTTTTTGCTCAGGGAACCTGCACTCACCCTCTGCCTGCTGAGCTCCTGCCTCCCTCGGAGCCTCCCTCCCTCAGCCCGGCTCTCACTGTCTCACCCCTCAGGACACAGATCACTCATAGTGGGGAGCAAGGGCTGCACCCAGATCAGGACACATGAATCCCCGACTGTCACCGTCCACTCGGGGCCCCCCGGAATGCTCGTCGCCTCCTACACCCGGTTCTGCTCCTCCAGCGGGTGCAACGGGGCCAACAACAGCAGTGCCCTGTTGGATGCCATCCCCCGTCCAGGTGTGGGATCCCAGCATGCTGGGTGGGACCAGGGACACGCATAGATGGGGCCCCAGTGACAAGAGGCTCCGCGGCTCAAAGAAGGTGGCTTCAGGGAGGAGCAGAGCTGTGCACCCCAACCTTCTCTTTGCTCTCCAGCTCCCCCTGTCCCAGGAGACCTGCAGTGTCCTGCCTGTGTTGAGTTGTTTGGATCCTGCTCACAAAACTCAGAAAATGTTACCTGCCCCAAGGGCACCATTGGTTGTTACCGTGGTTCCATTGATCTCAGGGGAGGTGAGTGCTGATGGTCTCAAGGATGACGGGATTAGGATCTGGATTCACTGGTCCTGAGGTTGGAGGTGGCCTGAGTTCCTGACTCACGGGTTTGGGGGTGGAGGGGACTGGGGACCCCGATGTCCAGGTCTAGGGGAGGAGGGAACTAAGAGGCTGATCTCCTGGTCTGACCAGGGAGAGGGCGCATCTGGGATTCCTGGGTCTTAGGAATTTCAGTGGGCTGTGCTTTGAGTTCTCTGACTTAATCTTCATTCTCTAGGTGAGCTGTCCTCCTCATTCAAGCTTCAGGGTTGCATGGCCCAACCTTCCGGATATCTGTTGAACCATGTCCGCAATATTGGGGTCTTCTCCGTGTTTGAGACCTCTTGGTATAAGAATGAGACTGAGAAAGAGAAGGAGAATGAGAAACAGAATGAGAATGAGAAACAGAATGAGAAGGAGCATCAGTTTCCCCCCCAAGCTGGAGCTGCCCCTTCCTCCTACACGGCTTTGGTGGCACTGGGGCTATCCTTAGCCCTTTGGTGTGGGGTGCCCTCCCTGCTGACCCCATTTCCCCTTGATTCTTTGCCCCTCCTAACCCCCTAAACCCAACCCTCCCTCTGACCTCATAACCCAACACTGGATTATTTTCCCATCCTCTCCATGAATTATCATCCACACACACTTTGTGGCCTGATGACACATATGGAAGGGCCTGGGAGCAGCTGGACTCGCCCTGTGGGAGAGTTGACATTCAAGCAGTGGCCACATGTGTCTGATAATAAAGACATCGTCCTTTCCCCCAGTGCTGGGGTTTCTCTATGTGAGGGGAGGGGAGGGCAGGACACCCAGAAATCTGGCACAGGGGAGGAGAGGAATCTGTGGGAGATTCCCCATCTCAGGTCCATCCTTCACTGGTCTGGTACATGTCTCCATTCCAGCTTGGGTGGCAGCAGAGACTTTAGGGTGCGGCCAACAAAGCTATTTGGACATCACCATGACTTGGGAGGTGAAGATGGACTTCACCCAATGGGGCTTCTACTTAGCATTCAGGGACCCAGCACAAACAGAGGGCTCACCCCACGTGAATATCTTGACATAAGGGTTTGCTTGAAGTAGAGAAACAAGTGGGTTTGCACAGTTTCCTGAGGCTGATATCCTTGGGTCTGTTATCATCCAGGCCTGAAAGGCTGAGAAGAGGTTATTACCATTGCTAGAGTCTGGAGGGAGGGATGGGAGAGGTTTAGAGAGACCTGCCTGACAGGAGCTCTGATCTCAGGCTGAATAATCCGTCCAGCCCACAGTGACACTACAGGAGGGGAGCTAGGGAGTTAATACCCCAACCTGACTCAGTGTCCTCCCTCTGGTCTCCTGTTGGGGCTCCCCATTGACTGAACGCAGGAGGAAGCCAGGAGAGCCCATTGATGCAGTTCTCATAGCTCTGCCACCCACAGTGCAGGGCAGGGGGGAGAAGAGGAGAGAGTGAATCTGGAGAAGGAAACAGAAAGTGTCCAGCACAGCCCACCCTTTTCCTCCCCAGTATCCACCCTTTTCCTTTGTCCAAATGAAAATCAGAGTCCTCAATATTGAAGGCACACAATTCCCATCTGTTACCTAATCATTGTAACGTGGTTTGCTAAGGACAATGAATCATACTCCCACAGTGTTAGCTGAACAGTTCTTCAAATACCATAGTGAGAGGAGGATGGAGAATAAAATCCTGTAAAACAAAGCTGCGAGCATCCTGGGTGTGGACCTGGTGGTAATCAGCTGCCTTACTCTACCACCCGTTCCACAGTCCTTACCACCTGCCAATACCTAGTTTAAACAACTCTTGTGTGATGCAAATCTTCATTCTGATGGGAAGAGAGTGTTTGATGGGCTTGTCTTTATTGAGTTTCTGCAGTCTTCCACTAAACAGGGCCACTTGCCAATGAAATAGGAAGATGTACGCACGAACATATCACTTGGCTGCCAGAGTCCTCCTTGACCCAGCAGCCCAATCTCCCTCTGGTAGTCAGGTCCCCTCTGGCAATCAGCGCAGCGACCCTCTTCGCTGCCTGTTGTTTGAGCAGCATGAGGAGCACAAAATGGCCAGGGGGCAGTCATGACTTCCAATTGATTGGAACTATGATGGGATTCCTCACCCACACCAACTCCAAAGTCACAGGGAGCAGAAGCAAAAGTCCTTTAAGTGGGCTGTTGGTGTACTAGAGGGAGGGGGCACTCCCTTATCCCCCCTTGTTTCATGGGCTCCTACATTCTGGCTATGGGGGAAGTGACATGATAGCCTGGCCACTGGTTTAAGAAATACAGCATTTCCTGTTGGGTGACAGGGTACTGTATCTCACCTGGTGCCCTCTTAAGCCATCATGGGCCATTCCACATCCTGAAAGGCCAACTGTCTCTGTGTAGTGGAGCAAGCTCTTGGTTTTGAGTTGATTGCCTCACTTCCTTTGCCTTAAAATGTATCCCCTCATTGGAAACAATACTTCATGGGGTACCATAGCAATAGAAAACACATTTTGTAAGTTCTCAAATGGCAGTATTGACAGAAGCATTGAGTACAAGGAGGGCAAATCAGAGACCACAGTTTGTGTCTGTCTCTGTGGGGATAAACCTCAGTCCCCTCCATGATGGGGCATATCTTGTGTAGCCCTGGCAAAGAATGATGCCCTAACGGTCTTAGCGTTGGCCTCTACCTTTGTTGTCTGAACACTGAGTACAGTCATAGCCAGGTCAGCCTTCGGGTGAGTGAGCCCATTTGTTGTAACCATGCACAGCCTCCACCCCTGCCCACATGGCCATTTTGCGCATGGGCCCAGTGAGCAAGCACTGATGGGGAAAGCAGCTGATTGACACTGTCCACTACATACCAAGAGCTTCCTCCTCAGTGCATGGGTCTCATGCACATTCATGTGGGTTGTGAACTTCTCCACATTCTGTGCCCATCCCCGGAGGACCATCCACATATCCTCCCTGTCTTAATTTTATGCTTTTATTCTTTCCAAGTCCTTGATCAGGTGGCTCACTATGGATCCATGCAGAAGTTGACCTAAGTACGTCCCTTTCTCCCACAAGGTGGTCCCATGGAATTTTGCCACCTGAAGGATTTCCCTACATCACACCTTAGGGCCATATTTACGGAGTGCTAATGCAGCAGCCATCCACTTCCGTTCGGAGCCAGCTCACCATGCAGATCCACCCATAAGCCCAGTCTGAACTTTCCCTCCTCTGTAAACAGATCAGAGAATTCCCACGAATCCACAGTGTGAGTGGAGGCAGGGGCAGGAGGAGCAGGTGACATGGTCGTCTGGGCCACCTGCTGGGGCTTTCACCTGTGCTCTTCATTCCTGCTTGAGCCTGATCCCATACACACCTTTTTAACAGATGCTGCATGCTCCTGTGCATGCCCAATGTCATGGTTTGGTAGCTGGGACAGCACCCAATACATCATGTGCAGTTCAGGTCACAATGCCCTTGGTGTCCAGTCATCAAGTATTGAGACTCCACTGGGACCCAGTAATAAGCCAGGAATGCTTTCCAAATGAAGGGTAGTTATTTGTAGAAGGAGATATACCTTTGCTCCAAAACCCTGAGGTTATGCACTGTGATTATCCTGTGATCTCTTTATGTCACAGAAACTTTCCATGACATCAGGTCTGTTGGGTCATATGGTCCAAGGTTCATGGCATCTGGGTTTCCAGCATGAGCTTTCATCAGAGCCCTTTCTTGATCTAGGATCCACTCAAAACTGGCAACTTAGGGGTTCCCTCACAAATGAGTAGGAGTAGTGTATCAAATGTGCTACATTTTCTCCCCCAAAGTCTAAGGGACCTATCTCTTTGGATTAAGGCAGCCATACAAGGTGTAGCAAATTGTCTATCAGTTTAGAAGGAATATTGGAACAAGCCCCAGACCCACAGGCCCCTAGGATTTACACCAGTGTGATGGAGGGCCGGATGTTGCACAGTTTATCTCCCACCCTCTGGCATACATGTGTCGTATCCCTGAATCATCAAGGATGCTTGCTATTTCTTGATCACTGTGTCTGATTAAATAACATAAATTCATCAACGAAGCGAACAAGCATGATGTTCTGCAGAAAATCAGATGCTCAAGGTCCCTCTGGACTATATGGTAGAAGAAAGCAGAAGAGCTGACCAAAACATGAGGCCAGAAGTGAAGAGGTACTCTTCTTCCCGATATGAATGTAAATGCTTCTGAGGATCTCTGCGAATAAATACGGAAAAATGAATTGTTAGATCTGTAACTGCATATCCAGAGTCTGTAAGAAACCACACCCGGAATGGCAGCTGAATTTGTCATGGCCACTTACATTTGCCATAACCTGTTGTCATTCTCCAATCCCTTCTGCTTTTGCAGTGACTGAACAGGCAAGGTAAATGGAGATGTGGTAGGCATCTCAACTCCCACATCTCTCAAGCTTTGTTAGCACTTATCTCAGAAATTCCCCCAGGGGGGCATTACTGGTCCTAATTTACTGTCTTGGCAGTGATAGTATCAGAAGCATCAATTGGCCTTTCCTCCCATAATAGCCCTCACACCATGGGTCAGGGAACCTACGTGGGGGCTTTTCCACTTACCTATTCCTATTACACATTCTGGGATGATATAAATAACAAGATGAGGATGTGGTCTACTGGGAAAGAGACTTGAGCCAAAAGTCCATCTATGCCCTGACCTGGTTCACGGTGAGGAGTAGCATGCGTCACCATCCACATAATCTCTACAAGGCCTGAGCATTTCCCCTTAACCAGAGCCCAGCTCCCCAGGTGCATGGTGCCTGGTCCCTCCAGTGTGGGGGAAGATTTACTGTCTACACGTGTGGTTGTGCTGCAGGTCCTTCTCAAACAGACCCACCCTCCCCTCTCATTCATGGGGTTCCAGGACTGTGAACCAGCTCAGTCTGGGAACTGGAAAAGATGTCAACAATACCCGCCATGGTGACTCAAGTCATATTTCTTCCCATCAGAACTAGAAATCTCCACTGCTATCAAGCAGCACCTTAGTAGGCTTCCCATTGATTTCACTTTTAGGGCCCCTCTGGTCATTGAGCTTTACCACACATCTCTGCCTGTCAAAATTTGATGGTTTTTTGCTCCGCGGTTTGTTTTAGTGATTGGGGCCACTTTGTCTCTGCATGCTCAGTGTCACCACTTGGCCACTCCGGGATCCTCTTTTTCCAGCATCTTCCATCAGCATCTTCTGTCTCAGGGATGAGCCACCAGAGAACTCTTGATGTGTCCCCTCCTCCCTGTATTTCTTAATGACTTCCCAGGGGATATGGTAAGGAGGTGACTGAGGAGGCTGCACATGACAGACTCATTCCACCTTTCGCGTGTTCCCAAACTTGGGACTCTATTTCTCTCCAACGTGCCAGAGAAATTCTAGCACAGACTCCAGATGTTAACTCACTACCCTAGCAGACTAGTAATGATGTTCCCAGATGCTTGAGCCAACAGCTTAAAGCCTATATCCCATGTGAAAGAATCAGTCCCATCAAGCCTTCTTCTTGGTCCTATTTGGTCTCACACTCTTAGAATCTCTATCAGTCAGGGTCCAGGCAGGAGTCAGAAGCCACATGGTAATTTTAACAGGAATGTTCAATATTAAGAATAGTTAACTAGTAACAGGGGATTAGAGTTAACAGGGATCTGTTACTGAAGGGTGAAGGGAATTCTAAAGAAGAAGGGAATAGCAGACACAGCCAGTAACCTCTACCACTAACTGGGCCTGGAGAGAAGCCCTTCCTCCTGCCATGTCCCTCTGGCGCCCTCTACT